TTTGTAAACGTTTGGTCACGAAAGTATCTGATGAAAGTGATTCCAGACGCACATATTATAAAATCACATCATTTTGAGATTTTTTATACCATTTATAAAACTGGTGAGATGAACATTTTTTTACTGTAATCATATGAAAAAGGCATAATAAATTGATTCATGACACAAAATCACTACCCGCAAATGAAAATAAAACAACTAAAACAAAGGAACAGTGCTTTTATTGTTGTTCATCATTTCAAAGTCACACTTACACCCAATTAAACATGCTTACATATGTATGCCCCAAAAAGTCTGGGCTAACTTTTATTCAATATGAAAATTTAATAAAACAGTATGATCTGCATTCCAGTTATTAATTAATTAAAATTGTCAATCATGTGGCAATTATCTCCGGGATGACAGTATCCGATATCTGCGAAAAAATGTAGCTCATAAATGAATGAATGAATGAATATACTTTATTTGCAAGAAGCATATACATGCTATGGCAAACGAAAAAATATATACAATAATGAAGTTATCAGAAAGGAACTGTTTAACTCTGCGATAAATCAGCTTAAGGGGATAAATACCATTACATATGCAAACAAAAGGATTGATTGGGTGGCAAATATTATATTCATAATAAAGACAAGAACAAGTTAACAATAATTCAATAGGAAGGTTCTGCAAAGTAGGGGTTACCTGGAAGAAAGGATGAACATTTGAATTGCCATTGGAAAATGAAAGCATGTTGGATAGGGATAGTAAATTTGCCTTGCAACAGGCCAACTCAATCTATCAATCATTGTATATTTTGACATTTATTGTAGACTTTTCTTTACCATTGTTTTATAGAATAAGCTATCGATTCTACTGCATTGTAGAATAAACTATCGATTCTACAGTATTATAGAATAAGCTATCGATTCTACTGTATTTATAACAGCATAAGCTGACAAGCGTATGTAGTTATTGCACGTGTAGCAATTGAATGGAAATAAAAACTTATATAAATGTGTCTATTTTATTACTTGTTCGAAGCATGTCGACAAATCACATATTAATGTTAAGGAAATGGGATAACAGATATTAAATCCGATAGTGATATATAACTAATTAAGACTAAAAAGTACAATTTTACGAAGTTATCAATTTTTATAATCAGTTGCTCCTATATGATGTACCTTTACAACGATATAAAAATTCAAACCATTTGGGTAATAATTGAACGGTGATTTTGTGTTTGTATGTTTGAATTCTCTGGCTTTTCCGTGGATGCATGAAAATAAATTACTTATCATGAGCTATTGGATTAACGACCAAAAGGGTCTTTTGAAACAAAAAGGAGAATGTTACTTTTCCAGATTTTTTTTCAGATTTATCAAGTAAATCGAAGACTTAGCTCAAAAGAAACTATATCTATAATAACTACACTATGTAGAACGTGATAACAACAATACAGTGTAAGAAACAAGAAATCTGCCACATAACATTCCATGATCTTCAGTACGGCTTTACCGTTTATGTTTTCAATTTTAAACGTTTTATTTGGTCTTTAAGGGAAATGTCAATGTATAACTGAAACTGAAATTAAAGAAATGATTGAGAAATTTTGTCTTTGTATATTTCATTAGATTTTAATCTTGTTTTACTGTTAATTGTAGAACCTTCGGTTTAGTCACGTTTCTCCAACATTTGATAATTATACTAAAACAACATTAAGGATTAGGGGGTCCACCTAAGGACTGGCATCTTGATATTTACCTGTAATTCACCTATATCAATTCTTAACTAAAATATTGTAAAAAGGGATATTATTTTAAGATATATATTAAAACAATAACAAACTTTTCTTTTACAATTTTACAATAAATGGGTTTTCTTATATTTTTGGTCGAATATAACCAGAAACTGTTACGTAATTATTTGTATTCCTATTTGAATTACAAAATTAAAAAGTTATTCAACAAAAAAGTCCACGAATAAACAAGGAAAATTCAAATCAAACTGAAAATTTCATAAAAATATATCAAGAAATAATCTCAAAAAGATTTTTTTTAATGAATTTTTAAAGAAAATAATATGAACAATCGAAATGTTCACTAACTGTACATCATTTATGTAATTTATTCTATTACTTGATATATTTTTGTATTTGTGTTACATGTAGATGTAAAACGATGTGCAACAACACAGTTTTATTTACGTAGAAAGTCACAGAAAGCTGTTGTCTTTTAGTGCGAAAAACCATATATCTAGTCTTCTAGTGCGAAGAACCATATATCTAGTCTTCTAGTGCGAAGAACCATATATCTACTTAGTCGTTCTGTCTGTATATCATAAGAGCCGAAGTCAATGTTCCTGTCATGTTGTCTAAGCAGAGGGAAGAGTCAGTCGTATATCTGTCCACTTTTTCCACGAAAAAGGGAGAATACATTGGGTTTTTAACTGTGGGGACTGGCTTGGTGAATTGTGAGATACAAGTATTCTCGATTTGTCACTTAAGCTTTGGACAATTAATGGCTGTTGACAAAGAAATTTAAATATACTACATCTTTGACAAAAGGCAGCGTTTGATACTTTAATATAAGCTTAATGACTCGAGCTATTTTTAAAATAGCTATCAGAATATGAATTGTTTTTTTTATTTCATGATCGCAACATTGTAATCAATAAGACAGTATTATGGAAAATAGAGAAAACAAATATGAAAACAAAGTAAAATAAAAATTTACATCACTGTGCTAGATTTTATCGACTTTTGGGAAACTATTTTAAAAAATAAATGAAAAACCAATTATTTAAATAAAAATAAAAATATTTTGTATATTTTTTAATATATATCTTTAAAAAAAATACCCCTTTTTAACAATATTTTGGTTAAGAACAGGTGAATTACAAGTGTTTGTCATTTTATATGCTGACGATACTGTCTTAATGGCAGAATCTCAGATAGATTTACAAAGACAACTGGACTCCTTATATGAATATTGTGAGTTATGGAAACTTAAAGTAAATGTGCAAAAAAGTAAGATTGTAATTTTTTCACAAGGTAGACTACCGCAGAATATTGTTTTTAAGTATGATAATATAATACTAAATATTGTGAGTGAATTTACTTATCTTGGTGTATTACTGTCTAGGTCAGGAAATTTTTCAAGAGCTAAAAAAAAGCAACGTGAAAAAGCAACACATGCTATGTACGATATTATTCGAAAAGGTAGAGTACATAATCTGTCAATTGAATGCCAACTTGATCTATTTGATAAAATTGTGAAACCAATACTTCTGTATGGGTGTGAAGTTTGGGGTTTTGGAAATAATTCAATAATCGAGAGGGTTCATATTAAATTTTGTAAAATATTACTTGGAGTAAAAAAGTCTACTCCTGATTTTATGATTTATGGTGAATTGGGAAGATATCCATTAGATATTTCAATCAAGTTACGAATGATAAATTATTGGTTCAAGTTGGTAACTGGAAAACATGACAAATTGCCTTATATTTTGTATAACTTAGCAACTGTCAAATATGGTACAAATATTTTATGGTTAAAACAAGTCAAATCAATTTTAGACACGTGTGGCTTGTCATATGTATGGAACAATATCTATTTTGTAAATAAAACATGGCTACATGTAACCATCAAACAGAATTTAATAGATCAATTCAAACAAAAATGGCAAGCAAGCCTACAAGAATCACCAAAAGCATTAAATTATCGTTTATTTAAAGATACTTTGGAGTTTGAGAAATATTTAAATATTTTGGATGACAGGCAGATATCCTTATTTCTTAAATTTCGAACTTTGAACATGAAATTTCCAATAGAAACTGGAAGATGGCAAAACATAGAAAGAGAAAACAGAAAATGTGTATTGTGTAATTCAGATGCCATTGGTGATGAATACCATTACATTTTTAATTGTTCAGCTTTTGATAACTGTAGAAAACAATGTATTACATTTTACTATAGAAATAGACCAAACACATTGAAGTTTTATGACTTAATGAATTCTAAAAAATGTACAGAACTGAACGAACTATGTAAACTTATTAAGGAGATCAATAACAAATTGAACTTTTCTGGGTGAAGAATGTGAATGCCTCTATCTACTTTCGTACATTATTTATTTATGTAATTGTATTGAAATATGTATAATTATCTCTATACCTTTGTAATTTGGTTTGTGAGAATAAAGATATATATATAACAGTAAATATTAAGATGCAAGATGCCAGTCCTTAAGAGGACCCCCTAATCCCTAATGTTGTTTTTGTCTAATTAACATAAACAATTTTTAATAGTTTAAGATTTCTTGTAAATTTTTAAACTGAAATTACTAAATCGATAATACAATTATTAAGTAAACACCAATTTTATTTTATTTCTGATGTTTATCGACCTAAATGGCACAGACTTGCTCCTACTCTAGGTATGTTTTTACTCAATAGTAAGTCAGCGTTACAAACATCCACTTAACAGTAACTATATAATATATTAACGATTAGCTATGCTCATCAAATAAATGAAATGCCTGGATTATTTCCGATACATATTGCAACAATCAACCGCTATCTTAAGTGTAAATGGTAATACAATTAAAATGATCGCAGAAACCCCCATTCCAGTAGACGATGTCCGTTTATCACTATTTATTGATATTAGGGAGCGTATTGCAGCAGATGTACTGTTCTTTGGAATTTTTATAATATCTCGTAGTTTCTGTAGTTCCTGTTTGAGTTACTCTTTAATCTGCTCTTTTGTAAGATGTTTTTCTCTGAAGTGACTGATTCGTTGAATAACATCGCAAGAACACAGACATCCTTTAGATGAATTCCATGACTGGTTGTCACGTGATTTGATGTTACGGGTTGTAGAGGATAGACTGGCTGTCACGTGATTTGATGTTATGGGTTTTATAGTTGGAAATACAGAGGATCGACTGTTATGCACCTGATTTGATGAAACGGATGGTATAGTTGTAAATACAGAGAGTTGACTGGTTATCACAGGATTGGTAGGCTGTTTTGTTGAAGGTTTTACCTGTTGTGTTGTAGCAGAGATGGGAATATCTGAAAAATAAGTTTATAACTTTTAAAGATTTGTTAAAGACATGTGCTAGACGTGCAAATCAAAACTTTTAAAGCGATCAAATATCAAAGAAGACTGGTGTCATGTAATTTTTTATCCAAGAAGTTTTCATAATGCTACATGACAAAGACACACAGTCAAATTTCTATATCGAAATGTTGATTGGACCGACAAAAATAATTTGATATACCAGGAATTTTTAATATCAGAAGTATATGTATGCAAATCCATCAATTGGAACAGGAAATTTACTTTGAGATAACAGAAATTTTTAGATAAAAAGGTTTGACCTAACGAGTCAACTGTTTTTTTTTTAAACAAAATTGACTATCAGGTGGCATTTAAAAGAAGGGTAATTAACCTTTATCTTAGGGGATGACCATTTGATTTTCTGGGGAGATGATTTAGGAAAAGACTGTAGTGGCCTGGTAAGACCCGAAGAATAAATAATCCTGTCCAAGACAGATAAAAATGAATATTCTGCACCACAAAATACAGGTTATATATGTGTATAAAATCGAAAAAAAGTATGCCTAGCAAAAGATGAAAATGAATATCCAGTCCACGAAAAATGTGCATGTCTTCTTCCGATAATCAAATGGTCGTCCACTTGATATATATGTGCTATTTCTACTTACTAAAAGGAATTCCTACAGCCGCCAAAGAATAATTATAACTTTGAGGTGAATCTAATCCACCACATCCTCCCATGTGCATTAAAAATTGAAAATAAAAATAATCAGGCATGTAATGAATAAGTTTGAATTTAACAGAGGTATCTTTCCAACCTGTCGTGAAATCATTTGGCATCCAAACAGGGTATGGATCAGAGTGTAAGTTAAAATAAAAAGCAAAATAGCTATTTGGTGTACGATCACAATTGTGAAAGGTAAAATCCTTGCCATTAGCCCTATATCCTTGTGTGTTGCTATATCTAGCCAAGGAAATGGGCAAAAGTCCTAGATAGATAAAATGGCAGTAAGTACCAACTCTCTTCGGTTGATTATAATCAGGGTAGCTGTCATAAAAATATCCAAGAGATTGTTTTGTGTAGCTCGACAATTGTTCTAACCTGGTTTCCCATTGAGAACCATCTGGATTTAGGTGTCGCAGTAATGCAAATGATCTGTTTGGATTCAATCTACTCATATTAATTCCAGGGAAACTTGCTTTGTTTGCAATAAACGTGTAGCCATTTTCTTCACCAAAAGCACAGTAGGCTTGAAAATCGCCTTGCTTGTCATTTTGTAACCAGTAAGTTGCATTCGAAGGATGCTCATATGCTACATATACATCTAAGTATGAGTCTACAAAACAATAGTTATGTGGAATAGTTTAATATTTACAATTGACTAATATTTTACCAATTGTATCATATTCCCCTGTTGTATCATTTTGACTTGGTGTGGATTCGAATGGTGGACAGGAGACACTTTCCCTGCCATCGCTCTTTTAAAGTTCATGCAGTTCTTTGGGGGTATTTTACTTAATTCTATTGCATAGAACTATTCAGAAAGGGAATAAATAAGTCAAATTTGTTTACACAATATTTCTGGAGTCTAAAACGTCAAATTCAGTGTCTTAATCAATTTTCTAATAACCAATCGAAATTGACTAATCTTAGACTTTTTTTTAATTTATTATTATAAGATCCCCATTGTCGACACAAAAACGAAAATTTCCCCGTGAACCGTGAATTAATTTCAAAATAATGCTTAAATATATATAAGAGTGGAATTTTTTGCAAAAATAACAAATATGTGAAACTACCGTCAATGGTAAGACTGAGTAATGCGTTATATGTGTTTGTGTTATTTATACGAATGGTTTTACAAAATACTTAAAACCTCTTTCATTCATTCTTAGATTAAGTAGTACATACTTCCATACCTTTGCATTATACCACCATGTCTATGAAATCTTACAATTTTCTGCTTAAAAAAAATGAAATATGTCGGGCAAGCAAGGGATAGAATAAATACGCTATATAATTCCTTGATGTGTTTATTGGTCTGCTTTAAAATACAGGTATTTGCAGTCTATATTGCGACGTTCTATCGTTCAAGGATATATACAGACAAAAGCGTCTGGCAAATCTTTGATTCAGAATTAAAAACTGTATGGAAAAACAAGTACTTACAAAAAGTTGAACAGTCTATTCCAGTAAATAAAACTGTAAGCATTAATTGTATTTGAAACAACATCATGTTAAAAGGAATGCAAAAAGAGATATATTTTCACTATCAGAACTTCACTATTCTATAATAGGGTTATGAATGAAATAAATAACACATTTATGCGAAGAACAGAGCATTTGTGTAATGTCCAACCCGATGTTGTTTCGGCTATTGTCTTAATTAATTGATCATGAATATTGATTAGTTTGATGCGCACGCATTTCTTGCTGATCTTGAAATTCTTGACAATTTTGCTCAAAGGATTAATCAATTAATTTTCATTTTATATTCAGATGTTCAGAGTGAAGTTGGTTATCAATCTCAGAGGCGTTATAACACTGCTAATGACCATATTCCACAGGGTTATTGTGTACGTTTTCATAGTGGTAATTTTTGTCAATTGCCTTGCAGATTTTTGCACAAGTGCTATATATGTAATAAACTCCATCCTGCTAGGAAATGCTGGCATACTGCTAATCAGCAAACTACAAATTACAATCAAAATGTAAATACTTTTCGTTCCTTTCGTACACCATTTCAAGGAACAAGACCCAGAAATAGTATGCACTCAAACACACATACCTTTCAAGCAAGCCCCAGATTTCCAAGACCACAACTCAGGTTCCCTAATTCAATCCCCATCACTAAGCATTAAAGAAATACGAAAATTTGAGGTTGATGCCAAGCTTTGGGTTAAGAAATTGCCTACACCTGTAAATGTTTTGGTAATGGCCCAATTTTTACAATATTAGGATGAACAAGAAAAAGATTTTATTTTATCCGGATTTTCTAATGGTTTTTCAGTTTGTTCAGAAAAAATCTCACCTAGCTTACAGTGTAAAAACCTGTGTTCTGCAAATAAACTTCCGGATATTTTGAGTGAAAAAATCTACAAGGAGCTATTAGCTGGAAGGTTTGCATGTCCATTTTTGACTCCCCCTTTTTCTAATTTTACAATTTCACCTCTTGGCCTATGTCCTAAATAAAAAAGGACCCAAAAAAATTCAGTTTTATTCACCATCTGTCGTTTCCTAAAGGCGATTCAGTCAATGATAGTATTGCAGAGGAATTTTGTTCAGTTCATTATACAAAGATAATAGATGCAATAAGAGGGATAAAAGATTTCAAAAGTCCATGTTTTCTTGCAAAAACAGACATTTCTATGGCTTATCGAAATTTACCATTGAGACCTGAGGAATATCATTTGTTTGGATTTATGTGGAAAGGTCTCTATTATCACGATAAATGTCTCCCAATGGGAGTTTCATCAGCGTGCCAAATATTTGAACGTTTCAGTACTGGGCTTCATTGGATAGGACAAAATTTTATGAATGAGGGTATCATGATTCACATTTAAGATGATTTTTTTATAGGTGCCCAGTCGAGGGAAATATGTGAAAGTTATCTCAAACAATTTTTGGATGTTTGTGATAAAATAGGTGTACCTATGGCTCCTGACAAAACTGTAGGCCCAGCTCATTGCTTAACTTTTTGGGGAATTGAATTAGATACGGTTGAACAAGAAGCACGTTTGCCATCTGATAAATTATCTAAATGTAGTGAGTTAATCCAAGATTTTTTAAGAAGGAAAAAAGTGACATTACGAGAGATACAGCCACTTAATGGTCTCCTTAACTTTGCATGTCAGGTAGTCCTTCCTGGCAGGGCTTTTTTGAGGAGATTATATGAAATAACCAAGACTTTAAGAAAACCTCATCACACAGTTAAACTGACCAGGGGGTGTAAAGATGATTTGTTGGTATGGCAAAGCTTTTTAGAACATTTCAATGGGAAATGTTTCTTCATCGATGAAAGGATGGTTTCAAATGGTGTATTTCAGTTGTACACTGATGCATCGGGTACTTATGGATATTGGGCAGTTTTTGGAAAGTCTTGGTTTTATGGGGAATGGAATGAGCAATGGTTAAGTCAAAACATAACTGTGAAGGAGTTGTTTCCTATTGTCTTGTCAATTGAAGTTTGGGGGAATCAGATGGCAAATAGATATATTTGTTTTAATTGTGACAATGCGGCTTTAGTACATGTACTTAATAAGCAATCCAGCACTGAGAAAAATGTAATGTTTTTGATTCGAAGACTGGTTTTGTTATCTTTACAATATAATGTTTTGTTTTCTGCCATTCATTTACCCGGCAAGTTGAATATCTTAAGTGACGCACTTTCCCCGTTTACAGATTTCCAAGTTCCAGAAACTAACGCCGGATGCAGACCCAGAGCCTACACTCATAACTCACCTACCAATCTTACCAGTTTAAATAAAACAGTTGATGATCTATTAAAATCATCATTGGCAAATTCAACAAGAAAACAGTATAATAAGATATGGATAGATTTTGGACAGTTTTGTATTTCTCATTTAAGTATAACAGACTCTGTAATACCAATATCCATTCACACATTGTCACTATTTTTGGCTTCATTATATGAAAAGGGTTATGCTCCCTCTACAATGTCAACATATAACTCAGCTATAAGTTATCGGCCCAAAATTAATAATGTATCAGATCCCACTGCATCCTTCTTAATCTATAAGTTATTCCATGGCGCTAAGAAAAAAACGTTTCACTTTTGATGGCAGATTACCTATAACAATCTCCATATTAGAGAGACTAGTCACAGGATTGAACACTATATCCACAAATCCATTTTACCAAACATTATTTAAAGCAATGTACACTTTTGCATTTTGTGCATTTTTACGGGTCGGTGAAATGACTGAGAGATCCGTGAACACTAACAATCACTGTTTAAAGACGGATAACATTGAAATACAATCTGAATAATTTATAATATCTTTCAATTCATTCAAGCACTCAGTCCCAGGCAAGATTCATAAATTCTTATTAATAGACAACAAAAAACATCTATTTGCCCAGTAAAACACTTGCTGGCATATTTGAACTACAGAAATTCTCAACCTGGCATTACCAATTTATTTTGTCATTTAAATGGGTCACCAATATCTAGATCACAGTTCATTGACATGCTAAATAGATCACTGAATTTTATTGGATTGTCATCTAAATATTACAAAGGTCATTCCTTCAGAATTGGTGCTGCTAGTTGGGCGTTGCAAAATGGCAAATCAGATAGCCAAATTCGTAGCTTGGGTAGATGGAAGTTAAATGCCTTTCTAAAGTACTTAAGACCAGATGTATCTTCAAATTAGACAACATTGTAAACAGTAACCCAAGTCATTGATTATACATTTACAAGTATTTATACTATGAATTTGTTAGGTGACGAGCAGGAGCAGTCACAGTCATAATCATTGAGGTGCTAGTATTGAATTTTTGTAATGTATATACATGTATACAAATGTCTTTTTAATTTTTGAAATGTATAATATGCTTCTAAACATATTTTATTTTTGCAATGTTGTATACAAATGTACTGTTTCATTATGCAATGTTGTATAACCATATATACAAATGTATTTTTATATGATACCTTTTTACACGCCACTTTCATTTGGTGATGAGCAGGAGCAGTCACAAACAAACTGGACAAATTTAAATA